GGACGAGAGATGGATCGCTGCTGTTGTGATATTTCTGGTATTTGCAAAAGTCTTGAGAAATTCCGAAGACTTATTTATCGAAGCGTAATTATTTTCAGATCTCATTACAAGGATTTATTCTGAATATGACTGTGGCTATTTTTGCCAGTAAGGTGACCTCCTTAAAAAATGCATTCGGTCGCCTTTCTGTCAGCCAAGCCGCTGGGGAAGCAGTATTTTGCTCAACTTACATTCTCTATTATACACCAATGGTCCTCTTGTGAGTGCTTCAGAATGTAGCTCATGTTGAGTTTACTGTTAGCATTACTACGACACACATAACGTCGAAGTGTAAACTTATTTTAATCTGGTCAAATCTAATTCTCTTACTTTGCGGAAACTGCATCATTGTTCGTTATATTTTTCAAATCTCAGCTCTTTCTTATTTCCAGTGACATTTCTATAATGGAGGACAAGTCAAACTACGCCGGAGTTATTCTCAGCACTACTTATACCATCTGCAGTCTGTCCCACCTCCTCACTGCCTTGAATAGATTGTGTGCTATATGCGCACCTATGCACTATGATATCGTTTTCAGGTAAGATTACTTTTTGATAGCTATTCTTTAGTGTCCTTTTTAAACAGGTGTTGCATGCATGGTGATCCATTTGAAAGCAAGTCTATCTAGTGTGCAGAGCAACACTATTTTCTGTCTGTCATGTAATCAACGTTTTTTTCATACTCAAATTAGATAAGCCAGGAAGATTTCTATAAGATGCTTCAAAGATTAGAGCTATTCTAAAAATCACTAGTGTACGCAAAGCTAATTTGTGCGTCATCGCTCTTCTAACTTTGTACGTCTTAATTACTATAACGCTAACAATAAGACACCATCAACTTTGTCAAACTAACAACATTAACCCTTGAAATGCAGGTCGTTCGGAACGCTCAATTTATAATAAGTCTATTATCTCTCTGAAATATACCCAGACTGAACAGCGAAGCAAACCAATCAAGCCATTTTACACTCAATACTCTTAAAAGGGCCCATCTCGCCTAACCTGTCTTTTTGAGCCGGGTTGAACAAGTGCTTATTTTCATCAGACGTCATAGGATCGCACTCAAAGCATCCTTTTTACAGACTGTCGATGAATAGGTGTTCAAAAATAATAAATACAAAAATTACGTCCTTTGTTCGGCAAGTTAAAAGTTCCATTTCACATTGTATTCTTTGATATTTCTGATTAATTTGTTATTTTGTAACTATTTGAAGAGACATCCAAGGACCATTAATGCTTTATAAGAAGTAAATATGGCACCCGCCATACATGATCCGCTTGACTAACTTCATCCAATTCACCCACTCGATATTGGCCATATCAGCTTGACCAGTGCAAAGTGAATGTTCGCTTGATACACTTGATCCATTTGATCCACTTCGCTATCGATCAGCTGTCTAATCTGATCAATAGCGATAAAGTGGATCAAGCGGAACAGGTATGCTGCGTGCCTATAAGTCATAAACTCAAGATCACAAATGAATCCAGATTCATTTGATCCATCTAGCACATTTAGGATCAGATTTTGGAAAAGCACAGTCTGAAGTTTAAGCACCGCTGAAAAGCGCATACTTCTTTCCTTAGGGGCTTATTTATTAGTGTAAAACCTAGGCCACTTCTCCTTTTCTAGTTGATAACTTTATTCTAAAAAGCGCTGGCAAACTTGCCAAGTTAACGAAACAATCGCTATTATGAGATTATTGTTACTGATCGGTGCACTTTTCAAATCATTGCTTGATTCGAAACCATACGTTATTTCCGTTATTTAGAAAACCAATGATTGTTAGTGACTGTTCTAAGTCAATCACAACAGCGGCAGACTCTTTTGCCATGAACTTATAACTAAAGCCTAGTTTAACATCCCACAAAGCGCGTATGTCATAAAAAGGTGAGGCAAATAATGCTGTACTAGGGTATCCAGCTACTTCTTCCCTGCCCTAAAGGCGTTCAGATCTATCTTTTGCATTCCACAAAGTACTGGGTTTGTTGAACACCTATATTCGTTGAAATTGGGTTTTGTTAAACTTCAAGCATTTTCCAACTCAATATGTGAAAGGATTAGCGGAAGTGTTTTAATTATGTGTTTGTTTTAGCATTTCAAACACCAATGCTATGGTGATTGTAACTTGGGCGATAGCAGCACTCTCGACAATCTTCATAAACTCATACGGTTAGCTTTACGGCATACCTGTTTGTTCATGAGTTCAATACAAAATAGAAACACAAGAAAAAACCTGCTTATTTCTTAAACGATCAAGAGTATATTACATACTTATTTTAGACTTAACAGACTCCTCTCGTACCTATTGCATATAATTAGAGTGACACGTTGTTTGTGTCCATACTGACCTATAGAAAAAACTCCTAACGCCACTGTAATATATTCACTATGAAAATGGAAATTAGGTCAATTTATTGAGATAGAAACATTCTTGCGTAATTGAGACAAAGATCAAAATCTTCTGACTGTCAGACTAAAGTCAAGATTGTTTTTCAAAGGTAGAGGAAGGTTTCCGCTCCAGAATAGATGTTGAAGCTCAACCTTTCTATGAGCTAGCCACCGAGTGCGAAGCTTTCAATAGTGGCAAAATTTGCGATTCTGAGTTTGAGGCTAGAAAACTGCGTAGGACCCTAGCCAACCTCAAAAAACTTGTCAAATCTTTCATAGCAATAATCCATGCCTTATGGACAGACTTCAATCTCGCATTAAAAAATTTCGTCAAAAATATCATTTTACAAGAAAACCCCCTTATCGACGCAAACTCTTCAAAGGAATGCAGTTTGAAACCAAAACTGTGGCCTGGTGTTTACTTAGGACGCACTTTTGTCTAGACGCAGACTAAGAGATGGTCCTACAGTTTTCACCCCAACTGAGCAGTGCCCAACAATTCCAAATGAGCTGTGCCTAAACGGGTGACCAGCTCTTTCCCTTCCCCTTTCTTTATATATTTTATGTATGTATGTATCATGAAGATTCTAGCCATATTGTTACCTTTATACGGAGAGGATGACAGGATGACGCATAAGTCACTAGAGTGCTCCTCTTGGGCTCTACCCATTCTTGAGCGCCACACATCTTGTGATAAAGTGCAGCCATAAGGGAATTTCTCCTAAGTAATGACAATTTTGGAAACGAGGACGAGACGGGGAACGAGTAGCGTAGTGGCACGAGGCACCGCTGTGATATGGGCGAGGTTCGATCCTCCCTCCCCCTAGGCCAATCAAGCCTTCTACCCTCCGAGGTTGGTAAACTGGTACCAGAATGGGAAAATAAAAGTACTGACATGATAATCGGCTGCGCCGCAATCATTGTAGAAAGCTGCAGCATTCAGCTGCCTCTTCGACCACGAACTACAATGATAGAATTGGTTTGGAGCATACCCGCAGAGGGTATTGAAGGCTACGAATCTTTTATCCATTGAATGTTGGCGATTTTTTGTTTCTTCTATGCGAGATTAAAGCCTGCCACAGTAAGGTATGGACAGCTACTTGAATCGCGCAAGATTTTGCATTAAATTCTTTAGACATAGGTACGATTTCTTCCGAATTTACGCGCATATGGATGTCCTGAATTTACAGCTTCGAACTGAATGTAGAACAAGTTTGTAATAGTTCAGATGCCACCTTGTAGAGCTTGTTTGCTCCACTAGAGATCACTGAAGTTAATTGGGTAACAAAATGTTACGATTTTATCGGTGCAAAAATCTGGGCGAAGAAAACAAGACAACCTATGGCTGGAGTCATACTTGAGCGGCACAGTTCCAGCTCGCG